TCATGAAGATAAGGAAAATATATTTAAGAGTAAACGATTTTTAAGTGAGCAGTGGAAGTCATTTACATATTGCAAACAACACTCACAATACAATACAAATTACAAAAATAAGCAAAAATAGTCACTACTGTGTCACGCAGTTACATGTAAAATATTGCAAAGTTCTAAAAAATCAGTCATCAATCGCACATAATATGTAAATTAACACTTTAATTTGGAATCTTTTACTTTTCTTAAAACTTTTTTTTTTATCAAATTTGATATCTTGAAATGTTTTTCTTTTACTTTATTCGTAAACAGTTTCAGCAATAATTTAATAAAACTTTGCAGCCATCTGACTACCGCCTGAAAAGTTGATACTTATGTTTTTTTTGCTTGTGCGTTTATATGTGTAGAGAAGGTTTCATATTTTAGTATGAAAACGCCAATTTTGCAAGTTGGTTTTCGCTTTTGATAAAAGCATCAATTGTTTATTTTAACTCACATGCCTAGTAGAATATTGTCGATTTTTTTCCGGTTAGAGAAATGTTTTTCTTGATATTGACACCTTTTTTGAATTTAATATGCTTTTCATCAATGTGTAGGTCGTTTGCACAGCAATGGCGCTACTTCTCCACCTGGTGTTTTTGATAGTTTTCTTCGGAATGCTGACGGAGGGATGTAACCTTTCATATACGGTTATCAAACCACTAAGTACTATAAAACCTGGGATGCCACTAATGATATGGTCTTATGGTACATATGTTTAGTTAATCTGTTGTTTTTTTACATTATAATATATCTGTTAAACTCTAGTTAAACATTATACATGTATGTAAATATCAATAGAATGTAAATATTTATGAATATAATAGATAAAAGATAATAGAATCAGTAATATATTTTTGTTATAAGTGTTTGATTTTTTATTGACATGACATGGCGGTTGGCCTCAGTGGTAGGGCTTGTACCCACTTCGATAATCTGTTGGGGTAATGTGATAAACATGTTTATGCATGTTGTAATGACATAATATTTCAATGTCTTTATTTATTTCCAGTCCTCGCAGTAATAATTGTTGCGATATCTATGGGTGTATCACAGCTACAGGGATATGGAAACGAACAGGCGTAAGTTTTCATCGTTTTATGTAACACTTTTTAAATGGTGAATTGCGTTTCTGCATTTTCTTTTCGGACGGATTTGTGACTACTTAATATCATATATGTGCTGAACATACTTTAATATATATGTGTGTTATTGTTATGAAACTTAATATCATAACTATCTTATTTTTGGCATTATGTAACTGTTTGTACATTGCATTAGAAGTATTATTGCCCTCAACTTATTCACACGTCATGCAAAAATGGAGTTTTAGGACGAGTCCATTACATAACTCAAAAGATGTTTTTTTTCACAAGAGTATTGTCCAAAAGAACATAAATCGAGAAAACATGAAAAAACAAAATAGATAAATAGGCTACATTTACGTTGATTACAACTAGCACAATTTTAAACAATAGCAATTAACCTATTGTATGATGCATGTTTTTGTTACTGTACATTTTGTTTATTTTTACCTACTTTTTGTATCTGATCGACCATACAAAATGTACTTACGGTCTATGTATCACCAGAGTATCAATCAGATTGCCGAGTGTTTTGATGTTCTTTCTTTTTTGTATTATGAGAAAAAATAAAAACACGTCCACTGTCGTCACAATAAAAAGAACCCAGACAAATGCAACCAATGTAGGAGCATCTGAATATGACTTTTCTATAATTATATCTTTCCCTGTCGTCGCAATTACTGAACCCAAGAGAAAATGTGCGAATCAACGAGCATGCTCAAGACAGACAGTGAGTGCGGGTAACTAATACCTGTACTCAAGTAACGCACTGTGCATGTATTGGTATACGATTTAAATCTGACACGTTTTCAATAGAAAAGTCTCCAAACTATGATACACGTAATAGATAGAGCATGGAAACACCAGAATATTTATTTTGTATGAGAATGCGTAGCAATATGAACCCCCCCAACTCTGATACAATTTATTGTATATTATTTTACGTTTCCATGTTAATGATATTCATGTATCCTGATTTGTTTCAGATGCTGGTTATCGACTGATACTGGATTGATATGGGCATTTCTTGCTCCGGTTCTTGTTGTTATAGTAGTATGTACATTCTATGAATGTGTTATTGTAAATTTGTTAAACTTGTTAAACTTCACAATAGATTTCAAACCAGTTAATAACCATATAACACCAATTCATCTGCCGTGCTTTATTGCTAACGTCGATTGGATCATAACATAAATGCTACATTTTACAGAGTGGATGATCACGTGGCATTTGTGTATAGTAACATTGTGTAACCACAAACGGTATTTGCTAAGTTTTGCTAATAATTAATAACCATGTTCCATGTAAATATTTGCCGAATCCAATGGTATATAATTATCTATTATACTAGCTTTTTTACCTTAACCGTTACGCTTGCAGAGGATTTTCTATCCGGCATCATTTTGATGGCAATATGTGTCACAAATTCTGCAAGCACATCGGGAAAGTACAAGAGCTACATTTTAAAAATATGTACCATTTGAATCGGAGAATAATTGCCTGGAACATGATGTTTGTATTGTTTAAATATTGAAAACTAAAGCGAAAAATAGAATATACTATTAGCCGTGACCAATCTTACCTTAAACACATGCCAAGTGATCATTCAACCCTGAATTTCATAAGGTAATCATTAAGTTAAAATCATCCTTATACACGGCTACTGAAAATTAAAAATAAATAAACTCATCAATCAATCAGTCAATCAATCAATCAATCAATCAGTTTATTTATTTATATAAAAATTGATTTATTAAATAATTGAAATTCATTCATAAATTTATTGATTGATTGAATAATAAAGTTAAGTACAAATTTCAGATAGATAAATTAATTAACGTGGTGATGTTTTAAACAATTTATTTCAGGTAAATTTTATAATTGTTGTCTTAGTGATTCGGACAATGTGCGGCACTAAATCAATGTCAAGGAAATCACACAAAGGACGGGCAAAGTATGACAATAGCTTATTTGTGTGTTTCTGTGATTTAAATGTCTTTTTGTAACTTAAAATTCAATTTGCTCACTTAAAATGCCATATTATATTTAGCTGTGTTACCTTCTCTGTTCGTGAAATATATATTTTTCTATAAATGTTTGCTTTGTGAAGACCATACCAAATACCTTTTGCCAATAGTAAGTCTCTTTTGATGTTCTGTCAATTGTACTGAATTAAAAGCCAGCCATACATTATGAGCAATAAATAAATTCAAATGTCAAATCCTCATCAAACTCAATTTTTAACAGTCTTAAATTTCTGAGATACTGATAACTGTTTGATGTCTGTTTTTATTTTAATTATCTCCACTGTTTATGATCACTTGACTACGGGTATCCCATACTTGCTTATTGTTGTTATCTGTTACACATTTCTTATGATACTTGTATAACAACAATTGTAAATAAATAAATATTTATATTGACGAACACTGATTTATAAAAATACAGTTGGCTTTTATTCAAGCAACATATTCAGATGATAAATCAGATTAATTTGGAAACATTCTTTGTGAGCTAGTTTTGTGCAACGTTTTGGGAGACAACAAAATTGCCTTTTAAATCGCCGTCTCCTAATGATTGGACCCAGAACAAAATATTATATCGGTTTCAAAAAGTACTTTAATTCTTTTTCGTATGACTACTTATATGTATTTTATTTAATGCCATTATCATACATTGTATCATATCATTTCAGAGCAGCATTACGTTGCATATTGGTGCTCATGCCGGTGATGGGTCTGACTTGGGGGTTTGGAGTACTATCTTTTAATAGTGACACAATTGTTTTCCAGTACATATTCGCTCTTCTTAACAGTTTTCAGGTATCCAACAATTATTTTAGTCAATGTGATAATCAAAACAAAATGCAAATTTCAAATGTAAATAAGGAACAAGTGTGTTCATTGGCTTTACTTTTGTGCAATGGGATACCTAAAATATAATTTGGAATAACTGGTCAAAGGTTTAAGAACTATGTCAAATAGTAAAAAGAAGATCTACAATCAGTAAATCTGAAAATGTAGTTTGTTCAGGCTTTTTCTGGTGGCAACACTTTTGTTTCACAATGTTCAGCGATTAATTTTGATTATTGAGTCTTTACGGATCATAGACTAAAACTTAATAAAATAATAACCCTAGACAATTTGGCATTAGCAGATTTCTTTTTACAATAACTTACTGAGACAATCGGTCTGAAATAAAGGACATGCTTTAACAAAGGTTTTAAAGATCTATATATATGCTTACAGTTAAAAGCACAAATATATTAACCTGTTGTGATATACTAATAGTAAGTTCATTATTTGAATATTTTTGCTATGTTTATTTCATGAGTTAAATTCACAAATACAACCTGACAGAAAGACGATTATTATGAACGAATGTGATCAATAAATGGCTTGTCATTTTAGTCATATATATGTTCTTTATATATGTGTGTTTTAAACGAGATATTTTATAATTAAATGTCAACAAATGTTTACTCTGTATTTGCTTTCATTCATTTATACTCATGCGGATCTCGCAAAGCGTATCCTCGTGATCTTAGCCTAGCTTAATCCAAGAAAGAATACAACACTGTAGTTAAGGAAAAATTCCTAACCAAACATTTAAATGCTATAATTAAAACTCTCTGGGCGTCAGAGACGCTCTTCATGTTTTTGAGGAATGTACACGTGTAAGGAGATATACATGTATATTTGATAAATATGTACTTCCTTATTTGTATTTGGGCTACTTTCGGACACTGTACTATAAAACACTTGTTTTCCTAACAGTTTGTTTTTAATAGTATGACGATGCCAGAATTATCAAACGTATGGAGGTTTTAAATAATTTATTTCCATAACGTTTTAATGAAAAACTTATAAACATATTTATAATTTACAGGGACTGCTGATCTTCATATTTCACTGCGTGATGGACAAAAAGGTAACCATTTCTAATTTTTTGCCAAAATTGGTATCATGACAATCTTAAATATATCATTTTGGTTACTTTTAAATTTCAAACCGTAAGACACATTGAACACTTAAAATATCTAAAACATCATTTTGACTAGAATAATGCATCATACATGATAGAAAATTGACTTGGCGCGCTAATAATTGATGAAACAAAACGATTGCTACGTGTTTAACGATCTTTTACTCCTTTGATTATAGCTATGCTGTCACCACCTTTGTTTATAATGTTATTGTTCTCGGTGGATTTTAAAATGCTCATATAGCGAAATGACCGCATTTATCATCCCACTGTATTGAAACAGTTAAAAAGTCAATCCAATAAATTGTATTTTCTTGCAATATGACTTGATGAAGTGAGTTCAAAACATTAGTTCAATTATTTAAAATATATATTAACTTTTAAAATTCCTTAAATTATGAGTCCTAAATTGAAATGTGGATATTTATTTTAGCGGTCCAAAAACCAAACTACGTAACATGGTTGATAAAAAATAAACATTAATATAACACGACTTTAATTGCAGATAAAAGATGCGTTTTCAAAACAGAGACACAAGTGGCTTCAATCGACGCAGAGTTTCGGACTTTCTGAAGGAAAGAAAAGCGTAATTATCATACTTTCCATATTTTAAAGAACATTTAGATTTTTTCTGTTTCTTTTATAATATAACAAATTGTGCCTTAAAGTCAATTCAAGAAGTAGATTTAGTTGAATATTTTTTCTATTAAATTGTTTGTTTATTAAAGTTCTTTATCAATTTTTTAACTGTTAGCCTACTAGAACCGAAAATAGTTAAACTTTGTCACCAGTATAGAGCCAGGCCTGCCTGTACTTCCGGGCAGTCTGACCAGTATCTGTACTAATGTTAGCTCTATTTTTATCATTTGATACTGAAAACTCTAAACATTAAATCTCTTTGAAACAATTGTATTTGGATTTTAATATGCCCAGTGTCAAAATCAATTTATTCTCTTTTTTTATTTTAAGAAAACATAAGACTCTTCCGTTTTGTGAAAGCCAAGAAGAATCAGTTCATCGATGGAGTATTTCAAAATGTGATTTGTCGGACATTTTGGCCAAACAAAACTTGGCTATATCTAAAACAGCACTTTGTCATTTAAAGCTTCCCGTGCATCGTGATCAACCGATAACGTACTTCAATATTTGTACTTAGCTAACCACGGTTATATCACCGATATTTTAGATTTTTGCATTTTCATAAAATTCAATCCACCGATATAGGATTAAATTGTAACTTTGTTGTCTCCATATTCACAACTATCCGTGGATCCAGCTATGGAGAATTTCAAAAATCAGTGGGTCGGATGTCTGCATAGTTTTCAATGGATCAATCGATGTAGGTTTTTTTAAAAGACAAATGTTGACATCTAAACACACCTTTCAATGAGTTTTCCAAACAATGATCTTCGGATATCTACTTCTTCACAAATTTCATTAGGTATTCCAAACATTGATTCGTCGGACATCTACTAATTCACAACTGTCAATGAGTATTCCAAACATTGATCTGTCGGACATCTACTTATTCACAACTTTCAATGAGTTTACCAAACATTTATCTATCGGACATCTTCTTATTCACAACTTTCATTGAGTATTCTAAACATTAATCTGTTGGACATCTACTTATTCACAATTTCCAATGAGTATTCAAAACATTAATCTGTCGGACATCTAGTTATTCACAACTTTCATTGAGTATTCTAAACATTGGTCTGTAGGACAACTACTTTTTCACAACTTTTAATGAGTATTAAAAACTTTGATCTGTCGGACGGCCGCATATTCTCCTTTCACAAAATCGTGTGTACGTGATATCGCAATTACGCTTGTTAGTGTATTCATTGGGGTGAATGTTTCCTTTTTTAATATGTGGATTTAAATGAAACTGTGTTTTTGCAAAGATATGTACCCATCGCCGCTGTGATACATTTTGGATTTAAATTTCTATACGAGAAATTTGTCATAGTATCTTGATAGATATTGCTTGTCACTAACAGTTTGTAATGCTATATTTGTTTAAGCACTGCAGTTTATCAATTACATTTATAGGCTTACTTTTTTTAAAGCTATCAAAAACTATATATGTATAATCTTATTTGTAAAAAAATTTTTTTGTTTTGTTTCAAATCCTTTAAAATAGATGAGTATTTATATAACAAAGTTGTGGCAGTTTCAATACAACGTGATTTTGATATTCACTGACATTTTGCATCATTTGAGAATTAAAAAAAACAAAACAACAACTCAATTTAGAAACAAAAACAAACAAGGGTCATTTGGATTACAGATATAAATATATTTGATAGATTGATAAAAACCGATGCTATAAGAGCCACTGTTATAACTCTACCAGTATACAATATATGTCTTTGAAACTTCACGAAGTGATTGATATATTGTTAACTTTTGTGATAAAATATGACAAACAAGAAGGGGTGGCGTTCAATGAAGTTTGTTTGATACTAACAATGCATTGGTCTTTTGAGACAAAAGTTACATTGCATTTATTCTAAACCATCCCTCACATAATGATTATGTTAATACAGAAATTCTAATCATTTATGTTTTTGTTTTTTATTTAAATCACAGTTCACCATTGTTGAACCAAATATGACATTGACCGAGTGAAAAAGTAAATTTCGCATTATTCTTAAATATAAATGTCAAGGTATTAAAAGATAATGTCCCGCAAATTTATGAATGACTCACAATTTCAGACGAAGCGAAACCTTTTGGATTATTTAGTCTTAAGGTAAATGCTTTAACTTACGAATATCACATTCCCGTCGAATTTCTGTGAAATCACTAACTACGTCATAAATAATTTATTCTTTGCAGATATCATTGAATGAACGTACTTACCTTCGTAGATAACTGTCTTAGTTAGTACAAACACAATTGATATATGATTATTTAAAAAAAATCTCTTAAACAATTAAACTAAGCAATAAAAGGAATTATTTTTTAATAATCAATTTATTTTATTGACACATCGTACTAATTGTAGGAAAGTCTGCTAGAAAACGTCCTTCTGATGTTAATTTGAATTTGAGTATAAACAAAGAAAGTACAGAAAGAGTACAACATATCTCTGAAATACGGACTCGTAAACACCCTGGATCTGCATCTGAATATTTTCTATTGAAAACTTTCAGCGCGATTTTGATAGCGCTTGTGACTATCACTGTCATGAGCCATCAAACATAACCAACGCCGGTGCCTATGTAAAATTGCACGAACTTACCGAAATCATGTTAAAACGGGTAAATGGTCATTTAAGATCATATTTCTCTAAAAGGTTCACTGTCTATTGTTAAGATGAGGGTTTCAGTGTCTTATATGTGTAAGATCGATACCGTACTATTCTTTCTTTTAAATACATTACTTACTTTCTTTGTTTATTGTCTTGATTAAGGGTATCCATTTTATTTAACAATTTTGCCATACATGTGTAGCTTAACCTTCTTTTCCTCTTTTTGCCCTTTTTTTTAATTTGGTACATTTTAAGTGTTTTGTATGAAATTCATCGTTTAATTAACATTTGCTACTTTTATGACAAATAATGCCACCTTTGTGTCACTGACTTCCGTTGATAAGCATCTAATATGCCTTAAAATCAGTATTAAAACATTATTTAACACATGTTTGCCTTTTCCAAAAAGATGAAAATATGAATCATTTGTGAAGCATAGATAAAATGTGCCTGAACATGTCCTAGCATGTAGGTGATTGTGTCAGGAAAGTAAAATGACTACAATATCAGAGTCATCACAAATAACTTAAAAACTACAATGCAGTACGAATGAAACAATAACCAACGACATTTTTAATGTTGCCGTTTAAAGCCTTCAATAGAGATACTTTTGTTCTTTTCCATACTCATTTTATCTAAGAGTTTTTCGAACCTTTCTTTTTTATTAACAAAAAATAGATAAAAACGAATTGGCTTCAATTTTATTTCTGAAATATTATATATTATATTAGATACCGCCAATCAGTAACCAGTAATAATGATTAACTTAAAATAAGCCACACAAATCATTTGAAGCAACGGCGCAGGACAATATGATTTTAAATAAAACATGACGGAAAAAATGTTTAAATCCTGAACAAGTTTTTCCTTTGCGGAGAATTCGTTCAATATAATTTCTTTTTGGTTTTAATTGCAACATGTAGAGTACAACAAAACGCAACAATCCATATAATATTTTCCGTCCAAAATTAATTTATACTTAAAGTCTTGATAATACTTTCATTGAAAACAACAGAACAATCTAATTTAAGTCAAATGATTCCTTTCTAATAAACAAAGTAAAATATGATAAATTAAAAATGATAAGAAACAGATAAAAAACATTAAAAACATGCAAACGTGAAATAATGAACACATTGAAGAAATACTAGACTAGTATATGATCTATGTTAGTAAGTATACTATTAGGTAATTTCGAGAAAAATTGGTAGAAATTAAATATATAGATACAACATCGTTTAGCAGACGACAATTTTCTCAGCAAACATAGGGTTAAGATAGTGAAGGGGAATAACGCAGAGAGTGGGAGAAACGGCATAATGTTGTAGTAATTTCCTTTACACTAATAAAGTAATCGAAAATGTTAAACCGGGAAACACCTGTTACGTGACAAAAAATACTGAGAATAGATAAATATATGAAAAGTGTCTAAAGACAACGAAAGCCATTTCGATTTGTTTGAGATGATACCCAAAATCTGCCAGTATTTACCGATTCAGTAAGGTTCGTATTATTTAACAACGACATCTATGAAATATAACTGAAATGAATTATCATTTAGAAATAATCTAAAAAAATAATATCTAAAGCGCACAGCTTTGGGTATCATTTGCAGATTATTTGTCACCACTAGCTTTTGCAGTATCATTGACTATCATAAAGAACATTGACCAAGAGGATACTAAATGAATTATTCCAGTGCAAGCTATATTCTTGTCATTGTTTAAACGAGTATTTGGTATGATATTGTGAATTTTATAATATACTTTGGCGTTCATAGGTGAGAAAAACATTTTTATCCAAGGTTTTAATTAATTTGATGAAATATTCTGTATAAATGATTTTCCTAATTGATTACAAGGTTTTTTTATTGGGACAATATGTGTCTATTAAGCAATGAAACAAATATACGAAATGAAAGCTCATTTTACGTATTTAAGTTGTAAACAGAACTCTTTGAACCAGCTTAACAGTACAATGACTAAAAAATCAATTTTTCACAATCCCATTGAAAGAAACATTATCTATACATACCAGCAATACAAAAAACAAACAAAAAATGCCTGTAATCTGAAATAAGATAACGACGAATATCACTGAAACATCCGTTGACAAAATCAAGTTTTATATAGATAAATTCTGTAACTTTGCTGTTTACTTACTTGTTTTAGTGATAGTTGAATATTTTAAATTTTGATTATCACATTTAATAAAAATACCTTTTAGAGTTTTGTCTTTTAATCGCCATCCGCCCGTTTGAATTAAAGACAATACATACGAGGGTGGGTCAATATGTTAGTTAAAAGTGCTGAAATAGGGGCTTACATAAAAGCTCGAGCAAAACTAGGAAAAATTCTAAAAATATTTATAATCATATTTATAATATTTATGGCAACAATAAAGTGTCGAACCTATCGATGTCGATGCATAGATCGAAAATGGGCATAATGCAATTAAAGATGCCAGGTAGAAAGTTGAAATCGTTACATTTCAATGACAGTTACAACACAACAACAACAACATCAGCAACAAGTGGTAGCGAATTTTGAAAAATGCCTCATGACTGAATACTAATGCAGTGGAATTCGATAATATCGCCACCACAGAAACGTCCTGTAACATTAATGTTTTCAGCCTTGCACATTTACTCCAACTAATAAAAACTGAAATGTGAGCATCGCCTGTGAGAATGCCTGAATATTCTGTACAAAAAATATTGCTCATATAAAATAAATGAACCAATCATCTGTCATCATTCGATTAATTGAATCAGTGTATATGGAGTTACAAATATAACCATAACTTATCGCAAGAACTACAGTAACGCCATTTACGTGCTTTCTTATGTGCTAAAATGTAAAATAGTAATGATAGATAGAGTAAATGACATTGTTTCACTGCCGTTAGTAGACAAAACTGACCACCAACTAAATAAGATGCACTAATTCACCTTTGTTTGTATCACAAAAGGGTTGTTACAGTATATAAAATAGTTACATGTTGGAATGTCTGATAAAATAACATATTGCCCGCCTTCAAATTATTTTATCAGTCAAATTACTGATTTATTAGGCTATTGGATGACTGACTTTAAATTATGACAAGATGACTTGTCAGTTTGCAAGCAAATAAAAAAAATATTCCAAGCATTATATTTATTCTAAAAAGTTAAGCAAGCATATACCTATCTGGATACTTTATACTCTATTTAAACTTTATATAAAAATATGCTTAATTTGTACGTTTAAAGCAGAATGGTTCCAGATTAATACTAATTTTCATGAAAAAAATGTGAACAAAGAAGTGATATAGAATTTCCAAACAGCACATTCCACCCACCTTAAGTATTCAAAAAAGGCAAAAATATGCAAAAATACATCTTACTGCGATAGACACGCGGAATGAATTTCAGTCATTCATTACATAAAACATTTGTTCAAATTTAAATAAATAAATACATTTTAAACATCTTAGTACATTAATTATGTTTTCAGAATTGATTTCTTAAAAATGTTTGGCTCATCTGGAGGCTTGCATCTGAAAAATGAGACATGTTTTCATTTGCCTATAATTTCTGAGTTCCACATTGGCTGCGAAAATTTTCCCCCCTTGAAAAATAGCGTAAGTGATTTCTGGACCCTAACTTTGTCTTGCTATAAAAAGGAAGTAACATCTGTCCGAGCATACGGCCTTTGTGGTCAATTCATACGCAATAAAACTCCAAACCGGTGATAAACGTATATAATGTCTTGATAAACATTTGAGCATATTAAATGGCAACATATTTCTAGGGTATTTTTGAATTATTCTGTCTAGATGAAGAGAGATAATAATCGTTATAATATTTAAGTTATGTAACAACAAAGTTTTTGCCAGTTTTCCTAGAACTTATAAGATTGTTATTCAGTTAATATGTTTATATTTCAATATTTCAACTTTATTTGCTTAATTTTTATAAAGTATCTTTCAACTTAAGGATATTATTTTTTCTCACATGAATACAAGTACTGAATAATATTTTATAAACAATGTAAAATAAAGTTATAATAAGTATGCATATGTCGCCAGAGTATATAAACCACTGCTTAAAAGGGTTGAATAAAAGTCACTGTATATGCAACCGGAAAATAACCTACTGTAAACTTCATATGTTTGGCTTATACTCCATGAATGGAAATTTTCACCACTTTGTGCTTCAAAATTATCCCCTTAATGACATAACTGATGACAGGTCCGGGTCCCTTTATGACATTAGCCCTAAAGGGCACATCATGTCTCATTAAGCAAAGAATACTAAATACCTGGAAGTTAAATATGACACTAAGGGGCTATAGAAATTGCAGGTAATTTAATTACAATTACAAATACACATATTTAATTAAGTGTCACAAGGTAAGAAATATGTGCAGCTTGACCGGGACTCGAACCCGGGACCTTCGGAACACCGTACCGCGGCTCTACCGACTGAGCTATCCGACTGCTTACACATCTTCTCCCCTAAATAGTGAATAGTTCTGAACCGTGACATAAGTAAAAACTTTCTGAAAAGATTATAAATAACTATTGTATATAAAAATGTATCGAATTCCATTAAGATATGTACTTATAAAACTTATACAATGTCTTAGAAATCTAAGACGAAAGGGGTAGGCAGCGGAGAATGGTGTCCAATCTGTAATAAAGTCTTTATGAACAATACCAATTAAAGAAACTGCACCCAATAAAAAGTGGATATCTAAAAACTTCCATTGCTAGATATTATTTGCAACTCGATAAACAATCAACATTACTTAAGAAGTAAGTAGATTGGTATTTGGCTTAAAGGCTTTACAGATTATATAAATCTTATACATTTGATTTTTTTTGCAGTCTAATACATTACTTTGTATGAATACGGGGCGAATGTCTGTTCCTGAAAGCGATGCCAGGGACACCAATTATTGTATAGCTATATTAAAGGATAAATCAAACAAAATGTACACATTACGTTTTCATTCAAGTGATAAACCGTTCTTGAAATATAAATGCCGTTTTAATGAAAATTGTCACGTTTAATATTGTTGACCTTTCGAAACATGAATAGAAAGTTAAAAGTGCTTCTTCAAGCAATAAGGAATATATTTGATATGGTATAGCATGTGTTTGCATTCTGTCACGTAACGGTAATACTGACATCGAGTTGGGAAAAAATATGAAAGAATACTTGTAAAAATCTTAGGAAACAATTAAACATTCGAAAGTAAATAAAGTAATAGATATTATTTATATCCTTAATGACATGATGTATAACTTGCAATGTTCACTTTGATGCATTGATATAAAAGCATTCGTGTTTAACACACCAACTTCAAAATAAATTAAACAAAGCTGGATGGTGTTCTGATAAATTCTGATTAAATTCATCTTCATACAATGTTTAAGTTAACTTTAGCGTCTTTTGTGAAAACAGCTTTGTTACACATCTTATTTGTTAAATTTGGAAGTTTTACGCCGCCGACAGAAAATGCAACAAATAATAGTAAGTTTATCGTGATTACTCATATTGTTTTTTTCGTGTCATATAAAATATTTATTTTCTATTGACCTCAATTTACATTAAACGTTAGAGATTTTACAGCATCATGTAGTTCAAAATATAAAAAATACTCATCTTATAAAAAGTACATCAATTTTTGTCTTAAAAATGAATAGTCAGCACACTTTATATTCATTGTCAAGATACGTATATTACTAATACATTATACCCGTACCCCATCATCTTTCTATTATAGGCTAATAACACACTCACATTGTTAAGATTACAAATTTCTATAACCTGAAAACAAAATTGTTTAATACCTTCGTATCTCTAATATATAACGCTTTCATCCTTTAATGTTGTTCTTTTTTTTTTATCAAGTTTTCAATCATGAAGACACACTATTAATGGTCAGGTAATAATAGTTTTTTAAAAGCAGTGGGAGTTTGTTCGTTTTGTAAGTATTTGTTTTAAACGAAATGTACACTGAATGATACGGACTAAACTATTAGACTAAGCCAGTAAGCCATTTGCATTAGCTGAAACTGAATCACTATTGTTAGGGTTTCGCAAGGGTAAGGTTTTATATTCGGCCTAATTCGGCCTAAGACAAAATATATATAGCGAGTGTAGTATTTACCTAGAAAATCTATACCAAAAAATGAATATTTGATTCTTTCCTGAAGATAAGTTAATCATCAATCATAATGTATACAGTTTAGATCAAGACATATTAACACCAGGATCAATTTAAAAGTACACCTTAAGATATATATACAGTATATAAGAACATAAAAATATCAGGATCATGATAAGAGTAAGTGTAATGATAAGGCATGATTCAATTTAAGATCAGCATCATTATAAGAGTTCATATTAGGACCAGAATCAATATTTGAACCAACTTCTAATCGCGGATGAAAGTTTTGTTAATTACAAAACCCTTCTACAATTCCACGATACAACTGATGTCATTTTAAGCCAAAATATCACATTTAAATCTTGAAATTCATAAGTATAAACTGTAAAGAAATTTCTAGACATGAATTCTTATTCTGATCATTGGATATTTGTAAACATTGGTCCAGAAGAGTATTGGTCCATAAGTGAAAGCCGGATTTAGGTAAATCTGAATTGATCAGTTTGTTTGTTGAAAAAAGTAAAAAAACAAGCAAATAAATAAACCAGAATTACTTAATATTCTAAAGAAATACTCTACAATGCCAAATATGCCGTAAAGAGCCCCACAAGGACAATGACCCTCTAGAAAAATAGCCTACTAGCAATAAAAGCCGACTGGAATAAAATCCTACCGGCAAGTTGTTAACTGATGGCAAGAAGGATATAAGCCCACAGCTTTTCAAAATGGGTTCGGATCCAACTTGTTAAATTTTATTAATAATTTATTACGCATTTTGTCATCATGAATACTTTTTTATATGTAAATATGGCTTTTGGTGTCATTATATAAAGGCATATTAAGTCCATTTTTTCTCTCCGCAAAACCGTTATCTTTTATGTCCTGATATACTACTTAATAACGTACTTGCTATATAGATGAACTATAATTTGTTTCTCAAGCATTTTGATGCGAAATATTAGTTTATAAGTTTTTTTTCATTGAAGTCAAAATACTTCATTGTTTATATTTTGTTAAGTTTCTGACTAATTTTTATTCATTCAGCGTTTATATCCGTTACAATATGCATCTAACATGATCTAATTCAATTACTAAATAATTGTTAAACACTTGTTTGCCCAGCAACAAAAACATATCTAAGGCTAAATGTACCTTTAAATAACAAATGGGATGAAATGTTACATAGATCGACGTGATAAGAACCAACTATAATACACTTACAATGATAATTGTATTTGAGATCATTGTTTTTTTTGTAGATAATGTTATAACTGAATTATATTGAATCTAACCATAATGGGACATTGTCCTGATTGGGTATTGCAAGTCGGTCTATGCCTCAGTGGGTAATTTTCCTCACGGGCTATTGTCAAACAATTTTCGAATATAACAATTAAATTACTGCATGTCGAAATTTATCTACCTACGGAAAAATGGAAAATCAAATTGAACTATTTTTTCAACTTGGGGTTGTTTTTGTGCAGCGTTGAGTTCATTTGAAAAGTCGATTACAGTACTTAACCTTATAAAGTAAAGCTTAAACTGAACCACCAGCATATTCCTTAAATCCAATAGAAGGCAGATCCTGACAGATCATTTCACGCTTTTGATACTTGTTTCCAGTATCACTTTGCCGGCGCATTTCGCTTGTATGATGTGGTCTACCCGACCTTAAATGTGTAAATTTATAAGGGAAAGCTGTTATGCAACTCGTTTTTGCTCAATACAGTGCAGAACGGTTTTGCAATCACCACCTAAACGGCAATGAAGCGTTGAAAAAAAGATATTGTATAATTTAAAAAATGCAACCCGTTTTTGCACATGCCTTAATACCTTAAATAGATTCAATTTAACAATGCAATCCGTACTAGCACTCACCCATCAACACTAGATCGATTGAGTTTAAGAGTGCAACTTGTTTTCGTTCTTAAATAGATTCAATTGTAGATTGCAACCTGTTTTGCTTATACATAAATACCTTTAAAATGTTTAATTTAAGATGCAACCAATGTTTGCAGACATCTAGATACCCTAAGATACTATTTTAGAATGCAACGTTTTTTCCCACAAGCACATACACTATATATTCAATTTAGGAGTGGAACTTACTTTTAGACACACCTTTAAATCAAAAGAGTGCAAGCAGTTTGTGCACACGCTTAAGTTCCTTAAATATATTCCATCTAGGAGTGAGTGGAATCAGTGAATGTTCATATCTATATACACTTTATAGATACAATTAAAGTGTGCATCTCGTTTTTGTACAGAAATAAAACCTACCTCATTTAAATTCAATATAAAACTGCAACCTATTTTTGCACATACATAAATATCTAAAATAGTGTAACGTGTACCGAGCGGATGTACAACGAATATATAATAATTTTTTCTTTGGGCTACCTGCCGTTTGATTAGATACAAATGATTATGAAATTATCATATATCATAAAAATCAGCTTGAATTAATACTCCAAAATACACTATTAAATTCTAAAAAGTCTAAATATAGTAAATATCTTTACAATATTACACAATGAAATAATTCAAAAGCTATAGATACATGTATCACGCTGCAACCCGATAATTTCCTATAGTCCAGCAACTACCTTCCTATCTATGAAGCGAGCCTTCTATTTAGATAGAAAGATAAGCTGCTGGCAGGGATTTACAACAAAGTTTAAACTAATTTATCTATACAAACTTATTTGTTATTAGATTACCTCTGGATTTTTAATACCTATATGTAACCAATTCCCTGATAGCGAGGCTTTCAGAAAATATGGAAATCTATAAGTACCCAGGGTCAAATACAATTTCACAAACTTTAATCTATCGACACTATATCCATGAAGCTAGGCTTCAATTGGATAAACAAGGGTATTTAGTTTTGGCCAATTCTTCTTTTCTACCTATGAAGCTAGGCTTCAGTTAGGTAGACGAAATTATCCTCTATGTATGAAGCGAGGCTTCAATTACATAGAGTAATCTGGTCCCGGTGAATTCCTCTGCAGACTGAATAATTCTGGCTCTAATCGCCGCATTTATACCTGCTGAGATGATCGCTCAAGCATGACTTTATTTTCATTGGTTGATTAGAATGATCATAATCACTGAGACGATTATTACATTATATGATTCCAAACTTTCATTGAAAATACGTATACCAAACGTATATTGTAAAGTACCGTAAACTAAAATACATTGTCGCAATATAAACAAATAACATAATAGTTAAGTAACACTAAAATCATTTCAGCAAACGATAATATTTATTCAAAACAAGCCTATTATAAAAAATGCCAAAACGTTACAATAGACTCAATTCAATAGTGCAACAGTTTTTACTATGTTTTGTACAAACATTAATGCCATATTTTGTACACACATATAAACCTTTAATAGGATCTTTTTATGAGTGCAACCCGTTTTGCACACATTAATACACCATAAATGAATAAATTACATACAGATCGCTTATCATTTTTGTACACATGTTAGTACACTAAATTTATACAATTAATATAAGTGTGTAATCCGTTTCTGCACTTGCGGTTTTACGCTAAATAGATACATATTGTTATACCCTTAATAGATTGTATTTCAAATGCATCTCATTTTTCAACACCTTAATACACTGAAAAGTTTCATTTAAGAGTGTAAGCCGTGTTTGTAAAAATATCCATACACTTGACAAATACAATTACAAGAGCAACCCCTTTTGTACACACACTAATAAGTTATATACATTTAATTTAAAATTGCAACCCGTTTTTATACACGATAGCCTACTTGTTTAACGTAGCAAATAAAGATTAGCTTTCTTCCTCAAGAAATTATCATTATTTCCTATGACTGTTGATTTTACATAGCTTTTATACTTTCATTTAATTTTTATAGGCATAGAAACTGACAATTTCTTAGTGACAATGAATTATGACAAAATGTACGAGATTCAAATTGGCACCGGTGACGTCAGCAGAATACCATTGGCTAATTTCTAAAAGGGTGCGTACATAGATATAAATCCATTAACAAAAACCCTTTATTGGAGCAGCTATTATGCAAATGTTATCATGAAAGCGCAAGTGGATGGTTCCAAAGAGGAAGTTTTTAAAACATTGCCAAATGGTAAATTTATATTTTATCCTTGATTTTATGTCAATATCTAAAACAAGATTAAATATCTAAAAAATGAAATAACTATCTTTATATTCATTATAATGTTTTACAAAAATATAATAAAATGAAGGTGTGTAAAAGTAAATATCAATCATTTCTGTGAAATATTTTGACCTGTAGTGGCCAACGGCTTAAGGTGCATGTCTTCACGTCCACCTTTGTATTCCATTGGTCATTGTTTTTCCTTTAGGAATTTTAACAATTATTTTTAAAGTGTCTATATCAAATCAGATGTGTGCCATGTTATATGGCAGTATATAAACGGTTGTTTGCATATACATAACACGTTAAAGTGCAAACAACCGTTTATATTCGGCCATTTAACCTGTAATTCTTTATTACGAATTTATAATATAGCAAGAGACCTTTTAAGAGAAAAGAGTAAGAGTTCTTCGTAATTTGACAGCAGCCTTGTTTATATAACTATATTAACGTTACGATGGTCCAGTCCAAAGAGTCGTTACAAACGTGCAGTATTACAATACACGTGTTTTCTCAGCAGGATCAATATCAGATGGTATCGCTGTTGACTACATAAATCAGTTGCTCTTCTACACGTGCAAGTTAGACCAGGTCATCGTAGTTGTCTCGCTGAAAAATAAAGATATTTATAAAACAATCGTTAACGAGTCATTAGACGAACCAAAGGACATAATCGCACACCCGGAAAGAGGGTAAGTATGTTTGAAAATTAACATCCGATAAGAATTAATGTTTTATTTGATACATGTACTAGTTTTATTTGATAGCGTTACAATGCTATTTTTTATTCATAATTAACAAAATATTTAATGGGAACACTGATTCATAAACCTCTAAGTCGCCACTTCTTTTAAACAATATTAGCACACGTTTGCTAAGATTCTTACTTTTTATTACGTTTAAATTTCCTTATAAGTATATTTAATGGACACATTCAGTTAAGCTATAGCACTGAACAATAATTATCTGTTTCGCATAATTATGTTCAACTTTTTTTTAAGAAAACACATACATTTTATATATTGATTAAACCTTACCATGCTAAATTCCTTAAATGTTTTTTGTCCATTTTTAAGTCTGGACAAAACCATCTTGAGGGAAATTTCCAAAATATTTACTTACTGAATAGCAAACATTTCAGACCATGATCAGACAGCACAGCTGTACTGGCTGATTTTGAACTGCACTGGCACATCGGCAGAATTAGTTGCCGCCAGAAAGTTTATGATTAATCAAATAAGCCGGAATAGTTATACAATCTCTTCACATACATTCTTTTTCTCCAAAGAGTAATATACTGGACAGACTCGGGCAATGAGCCAAAGATAGAGACATCAACCATGGACGGTGGTAACAGAAGTACCATTATGTCGTTTGGACAGTATTCACTGCCTAATGCTCTTGCTTTAGATGTGAAAAGTAAGTAGATTGTATCTTTATTGAAATATACATGTAAGGAAAGCCATCCGATATTCTCATAATGAATATTTAAGTACTTAATTTTCAAGATGAAATCGGATGATTTCCGTTGTGCTAGTCATTCCACAGGAAACATATATTCATTGAAATCTTGTATTGTTGGAAACACACACACACACACACGCACACACACACACACGCACGCACGCACACACACAAAACAAGGACTTAAAAGAACATAACACAACAAACAACAAAAAACAACAACAACAATTATTCAAGCTATTAGCAAAGCGAAGAGTTACTCGTTTCATTTATTATACATTAAAATTCTAAAATAACTTGGTATATGTAATGTTATAATATGAAATAAAGTGCTACCTATAACGCGAAACGATCTTGCTATTTCATACCAAACATACAATTTTAAATATACAATTCCTTGAATATGTAAATAATTAAGTAATTGCAGGTACTTTGATTCGTTCAATAAATATGAAATAACTGGTGGTGTTCAACTAATCATCAAAGAGTTCAGAGTGTTTCCGCTAGGCATGTCCCCTGCGTACCTCTAAAGCTTGGATTGAAACCATAGGTGGACAGGGAGCCAGATTACTCGTCCACCATTTTTGTTAATCAATAAACAGTTGTTGTTTGAACATTGTTTATACACAATGATGTATCAAAATGGATATTTTAACTTTTTAAGTTTATCATAGTTACTTTAATTCTTATCAATGATTATGAAATTTAATTTACTGATGTTCTACATCAAACTTCTACTGGAAGTGTAATTTATGAAAGATGATTGTGGAGTCGTCTTGCAAAGGTCTGAATTGTGTAGACGCTTTTGTTATACGTTTGTTTTTAGCCTTTTTTAAAGGGTCATGTTATCTCAATATATGTCATAAAAAGAACCATTGAACGATTTTCAAAATTTTCCCAAATGTTTAGATACATAGACATGTATTTTCAATTGATTTTAATGTGATTTTTATAAAACTTATACATGTCATACATGTTATCTAAAAGCGCTACGGCCTGTGCAACCCCGTTCGAACTTTCCGCATTTAAATTGGTAGAACAAACAACGGAGTACGCAGTTCGTTAATGGCTGAATTTAAAGCACTGTACATATTTTCCGTATGGCTTATGATTTTAGATATGAATAAATTTTCAGGTATTACGAATGTCGTCGTTTTTCTTCAGACTAATATAATTTGCATTTTTATAGTTTTGAGAAAAATGAAGTTCAAAATTTTGAAATATTGTAACTTTTTGTTAATGTATGGATTTATCTGGGATTTAAGGTATAGTTAATATTTGTTACGATGTACATGCATTGTTATTTGCACGTTTGTAAATAAAATTTTTTATTTCTATTTAACAAATTGAAAATCAAAAAGTAAGGTGAGGTGAAGATTATATTATTTCCCAAGTGACACAAACAGTTACATTAGATCCAGACTATTTACCCGCAGAATATTGAAAGGTTCATACGATATAATCTCGCCTCTATTGTTGCGAATATTTAGCGAAAAAAAGTTTGCACTATGAACAATTGAAAATAAAGTCTCAAGAATTATTATGAGTCGCCAACAGTTAGTACCCTGTGTAAACCATTTCTCATGTTTTTGTGTTGAATATTACTGTGACAAAGTTTGTAAATTTAAAGCTGATAAAGTGTATTTTAGTGTATGGATACAACCAAAATAAATGAATTCATTAAACATCATTCTCTGTCAACTTAAATTAACGGGTTTCTATAACTTTAACAAACATGATGCAGCAATGAACTTAATCATCTCTTATTGATCTAGACATCATAATCAATGTATAAAATTACAAATATGAAGATCAAAAGTTTCGATTACAGACGTAGTATATTATTTTGAGCTAATTACCATACAAATCTGAAGAAACTGATATAAAATCTAACTATATTAGTAATGTAAAGTGAACTTAGACTTTCATATGCCTGACTGTTCATACATGCGGTTTGAATGACATTACTGCCTCGAAAATAACTCGGAAAAAGTCAAGTTTATGTGTTTCATCTCACTGACTATAAAATGATATTTCAAAGTAAAAAATGATGCATTAAAAGATGCATTTGATATAAAGTGATCATTCATTGACATTTAATTTTAATGCTTTGTAGAATTTTCTGTCTACCCCCGGCATGTATTTTGCCTGCTTGTTATGTCCTTCTTTTTGTCTTTCGGAATTTCCAGGTTTTTGTTATTAAGTGCAGGGTTTGGTAACAATGCCGGTATTTTGTTATTTTGTAAGCGCCTTTGTTTCAATTCAAAAAGAGATGTTCTAAAGTCAGACGCACTAAATAAAAGTTTGTATTTGACGTGAAATGGCAAACAATTCTCATATTTCAAGCACTTTACTTTGGTAAAGGGAATTTCGTTTGTCCTTATGGCAAAATACACCTTTTGTTAATATTTTGGTACTTTTGTAAAATGTTATCTACTAACTGTACGCAAGAGTGTAGGACACACATATTTTTGTACATCAGTTTAATATTACAGTCATTCATAAATGTTTTCAGAGCAGAGGAAAAAAAGAGAATTTATTGCAGGGCATATATGCATCAGACCATAATATAAATGATTGAACTGTAGGATAGTCACTTTTAATATTTTTGAAGATTGTAATCCCTGTATGCGCACTAGTTCTCTTCCACCCATAGCTTTCCGCTTATAGAAAAAGTTACTTACATTACACTTTAGAAGGACATTTGTAAATCAAAGACACAGTCACAACATCATCTTTACCATTCATTCTATCTTTTTCTCTTTCATTCTTTTTAATTTTATCACTGCAATGTTTATCATACTTTTCAATTAATTCATAACTGGAAGTCTTAAACATTTAGACATTCCTTGAAGAAAAAAGGGACAGTCTGCCGAATCTTTGAAGGAAACAAATTGCATTCTGTCAACGCCTTGAAGAAAATCGGACATTTCTGTCAAAACATTTGGGGAAGAAAATGGACATTCTGTCGATACCTTGAAGAAAAAAACTGAAATTCTGCCGTAGCCTTAAAAAAATGAGCATTCTGCATATGCTTTAAAGAAACAATAGATATTCTACCTAAGATAATTATGAATGAGCAAATTGATCAATTCAACCCTAACAGATAAAAAGGAGCAATATTGAATTAAAAAATGAAGAATTACGTCATAATCTGAAAATTCGGCAAACGAAATTTGGTACCTTAAGCACATAAAAGAAACATTTCAAAACAGCACAAATATATCCTAAATATCAAACTTTTATCATAAAATACCTTAAATCTTACATGTTTGTATGTTACATTCGTGTATTGCAAATGTTATTTTTTGTGGAAAAAAATCCTTATATGCCTATGCTGTAAAATCAGGATGGCGACAAAATATAACAATGGGCTAGGTAATTTTTAACGTCACTCTGGAAATCAACTGGAAGCCGAAAAACCTGTCATGCGTCATTATGGAACTAAAATTGAACATATATAAATGCGTTTTTAAAGGAAAACAATAGAGCTCGACAGCTGAAAAAAAATGATAACAAACACTTAGTAACGTCACTCTTGAAATAAGGCGACGATGTGATAAAGCAGAAAATGTAATTGTTTTTTATATCTATTTGTAGAAGCCAATTTTAAATTTTACTGGCAGGATAGATACTTAATGGAAAATCATTACATCAGATACGTTATAAATACGCACGTATACTGAAAAAATATGAAATGAGGTGCTAGCTATGACACAGAAAGCCCTTATGATTGTATAACAAACATTAAGTTTTCAATATATTTACCATATCTGACTCGGACTTGTCGAAAAGTTATGAGTGAGTCCTTTGTTTCGTTAATTAGATACGGATGAATTTGTGGTTTTAACTTGTCATTAAAGACCCGCCATCTTAAATCTTTATTCAGAATGGCCGTTTTTACGTTTTTCAAACGTGAAAATTTATCAAAATGGATATTTAAAAGTTAATTATGTTAATCATCGTTACTTCAGTTCTTATCAATTATTATAATATTTGCCTACTGATTGTCTACATCATACTTCTACCGGAAGTGTAATTTAGGAAAGAAGGCTGTGACGTCTTCTTGCAAAAGTCTGAATTATGCAGGCGCTTTTATATATTTTTATTATACGTTTTTTTTTTCAAAAGCGTCCTGAAATCGTATAATGTCTCATATATAGAACCAGTCCAGATTTTTAAAATGGCGGCACCCAGCTAAGTATTTTGTTCAAACATATTGGAATAAGACACATATATATGTTTTATTGATTTTAATGTGATTTCAATTTAACATACATTTCATACATGTTATACATGTTATCTCAGAACGTTAAAGCCTTTGCGGGGACTGTGGTCCCGCTCGGACAAATAGCTTTTTATTATGTTCCTTATTGTAAGATTCTGAACTGTAATGGTTTGAATATTCAGAGAGAACGATTTGTTAACAATAAATTTTTATTTTAGCCACAAGTCATTTGCATCCTCTCGGCCCTTTCCGTCAAACATCGGATAAGATGTTATTGATAATAGCCAGTTGTTCAGTTTAAATCGGTCCAAGTTGTCTCATTCGGAAACAAATAGAGAGTCATGTGTGGATCCACCACCAAACACGAGAAGTGTCGAAACTGTCGGAATCCTACGAAGTTAGTTATGACGTAAATGATGCTGTCATTGTATTCTATCTGTATATTTCAGGTATGAATTTATTTTGGGTGGACGCAAAACATGGCGTTATTGGACGGATCAACATTGATACAGGGGTAAACGAAAACTTGTACTCGGACTACACGAGCTTTTTACATGGCCTGACGCTTGTTGGAGATAAACTTTACATCACAGACTGGAGGTAAGTACAGCTCAACCTTCTCAAAGCGACCCTCTGTAGGGCAATTAAGCCTAAAGAACACCTGTTTCAAATTTTGTTTATGTCCAAAAGGGTGTTGCTATTTAAAGATTGTATTTATTATTGAATATTTTATCATATTGAATATAGAATTCATTGTTAAAAGGAATGAAGTCCTAAATTGTGACACATGTTGTAAGAATTAAAAAGAAACAAAAGAAGAAAAAAAGGAAAAAGAAAACAAACACATATAATCATATGAAGGGAGAGTTTCAATTAATAGAATAACTGTGTTTCTTAGCAAACTTGAATGGAGCTCTTATTGGTATATTGAGTGCTTATGATTTATTAAGTACATGAATTTGAAATCATACTTCTTTCACCTACAATAAAGGTTCATGTCACCGGTATATATTTTAAAAGAATTTAAAAGCCATTTTATATTTAATTTAATTTCCATATTTGTATGGGACCTCAAACAGAGTGTTTATATAACACTACCATAACTATTTTCATGATAAAACGACACGTTCATGTAAAAATTATAGTCACACAAATTTTGAACAGGTTTTATAGGTCTATGTTAACAGTTATTTGTATTCATGACCCGAGCCGCTAGGCCAAAAGGGCCATTTTATAAAATCATAAATATATAATAAATATGTGAATGCCTTATTCTTTATTTTCTAGCCATGTAATAAGATTAAGTGTAAATGGCGGGGAACTGGAGCAAATTGGACCTTCAACATTTTTGGAATTAACTGGAATTACTGGTTATAAGAAAACTGATATTAGAACAGGTAATTTGATAGTTTTGAAGTCACGGACCTTAATTAAATATTGGTAAAGAAGGTGCCAATCATGTAAAATCAGGGTTAATGATTTTAATATCCAGGCGAACTTTTAAAGACTCGTTTTTGGTAAATGTTTGTTAATGAACAGAGTAGTTTTCAATATCTGATATATTTCAAAGCTTTCAGTAATAAATTAACGAAACGTACCGGACGTTCACGAGTTTTGTTTCGAATGAATCGAATTCTTCTTCTAGACAAGATGTAAATAAGTTAGATAGATAATGAGATTCTCTCATCAATACGAGTATTTACAAAGACTCAAATCAAACTTATTATCTCTAATTTTATTATTTAGGTCATTTTAGGCCAATGTTTTATACTTAGGGAATAACATGCCTATATCTATGATTTATAACATAATGCAAATAATTCAAATTTGAATTCAGTAAAGAAAAATTCATGCCTGACACTGTAGTGTTTCATTTTTACATACATTATTTCAATATTATAAAACGCGTCAGTATTTTTACGTGATTAAAATGGTTATGAAATATTTTGTTACGTATGCTAATTTTGATTCACTGGTATTAAAAAGTAATTAAAATTTCATAGTCTAAATCTCATGCACCTTGATAGTGCTCTGATTTTATGATGAGAATCTTGTCTGATTTGTAAGAAATGAAGACAACATGACTGTTTTGCCAATGATTCTAATTCAGTTTACATGTATAACATTACGAATCATGTAAACTTGTTTTAGGCGCTAAGTATTATATTCAAGCAAAAGTTCACATTTCTTCATGATGTTATTTTGCATTTAGACCAATGCCATAAAGGAACTAACATTTGATTCATTATGTGAAGATGGTATGTTCAATGTGAGTTATTTTCTTTAGTTTTCAGCAAATGTTTACAAAGCACGTGTAGCCATCTATGTTTACCTGTTTCCGGAAAAGATTACAAATGCGAATTTTCAAACGGTGAAAAAAACGCTTTGAATCCTTGTCGGGACGCCAACGGTACGTCAGTAGGATTACAAAAACTATGATTAATTCGAAGTTTAGTCGTCCTACGGTTCTTATTATTTTTTTTTTGTTTGAATGATTTTAATGATTTCAGTGTGTGGTATTATAAAACGAAATTCGTTATAATACACTAAACCTACGTCTGATTCTTAGCCGCAAGATGAATTTCAAACATTTACTGTTTCATTGTACCTAAAAGTCGCAAGAGATAACAGTTGTCATGCGTTAACCTTTCATACTTACATCTCTCTTCGACTTTATAAATATCAGGCCCGGGAATTATAAATTAAGATATATTTATTCAAACAGATACTCACATTGAAATATAGTCAAAGATGTTATTGTCACTTTGGGAAGTCCAATTATGCAACTCGGTATTTGCTTAATACAGTGCAGAGCGTTTTCCGAAACTCCACATGAACGGCGATAAAGCGCGGAAGGAAACGATGCAATAGATGTAATCTCACACTTAAAATCAAAGCACAGAAGGCGCTGAATTTGTTTGCGTCTCAGAATATCAGAAACGTTAAGGTTGAGAGATTATATGTATTTTTTTCATTATTCATCTATTGCTTTTAAAACACATACAGTACAGGTTAGACGTATATTCTGAAATATAAGTGGGGCCAATATGTTAAAGAACCGAAACCTCCGGGGCGGAAACGTCTTGGGTAATCTGAGGCCGATACATCTTTGGGCCGGAATTATTCGAAATCCCTGATTTTGACTTCTGTGCGATTTCGCGCACATTAATTACTATAGAAAACTAGTTTTTCTACTAGCATATAATATTCAAACAAAGATTCAAAAAGGGAGTTACACCATTACCGCAAAATTATTCAAGCAGCGCTGTATGATATTCTCATGATTCATGTCACGAACCAATTAGGCGTCACTTTATAATAGATAAATAATCATCTGTGAAATAATTAAAATATATGCGCTTTGATAAATGTTATTATTGTCACATACTTGTTTGTTTGCAGTCAACTTCTACATTTATTTCCTTAAAAAACAAAAACAAAACAACAATGATAATGTTACAGAGTACAACCCGTTTTTGTGCACGCTTACATACCCTAAATGGATTTAATTTAAAGGTGAAACCCGCTTTGATCACATCTATATACAAATGATACTTGTACATATTTACTTTTAATTGATTAAATTTTAGTGTGCAAACCATTTTTGCACATACATAAATTGATGAAATAGATGCACATTTTAGAGTGCAACCCGTTTTTGCACACACCTTAATACCCTAGACTATATTAAAGAGTGCAACCAGTTTCTGCACATACATAAATACTTTTAACAGTTTGAAATTAAGAGTGCAACACCTTTGTGTACATATATACTTTTAAAAGGATAGTTTTTAGGCTAACCCGTTTTCATATTTAAATATAGAATTTGTGAGTGAAACTCAATTTTGTACATTCATGTATGTAGGCGATTTTGTCTCTGAATGATGATATTGTATACTTGCATGGTGCTTTGAAGTTTGCTGTAATGTTGTAAGGAAAAATCTGAAAACGTTATAATTAAAACATTTATTCTATGTTTAAAATTGAGCTCATTTGCATATGACAGGATCATAATCAGGAACATAATTTCATTATACACTTTTACAAATAACACATTGAAACACATGATACAACTATGTTATAGAAACGACTCGAACAATCCAAATTATAAGGTTTAGTTATTTTATTTTTTGAAAATTATATATTCAAGCATTTGTAATAATAAATTTTATAGAAAGTGTTGAAATGTTTCAAATCAGAAACAAAGAAGTTTTTTTATAACATTTAAAATCATTCATCTAAAAAGACATGTATATACGTTTTATATAAATGACTTAAATGTTTCAAATCATAAATTTTAGATACGTTTAAACACTTTTAAATCATAACTCACATAATAGAAATGCTTGAAATGGTTCAGATCAGCATCTTTACAGTTAAAATATATTTTATATGTTAACATCACACATTAAAACACATGTTACATACATTTCATATAAATGCTTTAAATCTTTCAAATCAGAATCTGAGACGTATTTGAAAGTTCGTTTGGTATTATTCACTCCGAGCTATTTAAAAAAATACAAAATACAATTACTTATTATAATTATTATGATTATAAACTATTCTCCATGGGGCCTTTATTATTAGTATATAACAGCGCAAACATAATACTACATCAACGCACTCAAACTGATATCTCTTGTCTAAATATACTGTAAAGTACTAAATGTCAAAGCTATTTTATTTATCAAACATTGCACTGACTTGTAATAATTGTAAATAGTACTAATTGTATACTCATATGTCATAATTGTACGCAATCTTGTATTAAAAAGGCACGTCGCCGGATAAGAATAAAAATCAGACTAAAAATAATGTAGTTTTAAAAAAACATAAATTATCATATACCTAGATTTACTGCTAACGAACAAGTTTTGTGCAATACAGAATTTACTACTCTTATCACAAAAACTACTTTGTTACTGACAGAGCTAGTGCCAATTCTATTCAACTGTGACGTTTTTTACAATATATGGTAAATTTTCTAAAAGTAGCAAATGCCTTGGACTTGGAAGAATCACATATTGTGCACGATTAACAATATTTTACACTCACTTGCAGCATTCAAAATTTTCATAAAATTCACATAAATCTTTGTGGTGTGCTGCTTTAAATCATAAAATTTTATAACGAGAAAAAATTGCATTATAACCTATAATTTGATATAGGCCAATATAGATAAAAATGTCGGTATGAGTTTTTCAGAGCAGATACAATCGGAAATAAAACTACTCAAAAGTCGTATCATATTATAAGTGATATTTGCATAAACATGTCGCTTTTCTGATAATAAGTTTCTTTCTCGTTTTAATTGCTTTCATATAATTTACTTATTATCCAATTTGTAATTTATCTATTTATTTTTTGAAATTTAACTATACATCTAAGAGGGCACTTAGGTCTCTCATACAATGTTACTCAATATATTGTTTTTTGATCTTATAATTGGTGACGTCTTTTGCTATCAAATCTATCAATTTCAGTTCGTAGATGTTTAAGCGATACTGATTACAGGCATATCCAATGGAATACATTGTATGCATTATTTAAGATGAGATAACCTTAATATCCTTCCAATGAAATTGCTGCACGTTAGTTAAAGTGAATTTGTCTTTAATGGAAGGTCTGCTATACAATAGATAAGTGTGTAAATAGTATTTATTATCAAACATAACTGAACAAAATTAATCGTGGAAGAATTGAACATGGACCGACATTCGTGATCCGATATTGCATGTCCTTATATAGCAGATAATTTCTAGTGCATTTTTTTGTATTATAATTTATCTCTTGGCTCTTTATTAACATTTTATCGAGCAATATATTAGAATAACCATCCAAATGTGCTAATTTAAGACCAATAAATTATAAATATTTTTTGCACGTTTTATGAAGTGTTTTTATTTTATACTTATTTTACGTTTTCTCCCTATGGCTGTAGACCCAGCCCCACATTGCGCTGTCCGCGTCTCTTTTTGTCAGACAATTCCAAAAACTGATAGCATTTGACGGAAAAATGGGAATTTTAAATTCATTCTTTTGTTGCATTTTCCTTCTCCTTAAAATATGGCATATCAAGGCCATATAATTTTATTATGTTTTTTTTTACGTGGCGTCATATATATTATATAACAACGCTATTATTATGTAACTTTAAAGTATCACTGTGTTTGAAAAACTCAACTTAAGTCTTTATTTTACCATACACCATTTTAACACACAAAAATACTTACTTTAACCATACAATAGCAAAATATTCAATTTTCTTCAGGTAATGTAACAAGGTACTGTACCATAACTGGAATTTATCAGGACCCTGTCTACAACTGTACGAAAATTTCAATTGAAAATATTTACCAAAAGGTAATAAATGTAGAGAATTATAATTTTGGTTGATTTTGTTTCATTTACTTATTTTCCTTTATTTTATGGTAGAGCAAGATCTCAGTTGCCATTCTATGTATCATTTTAGTCCAATCGTGCACCTAATAGTGGGGCGGGAAATTGAGAAAATAGTGCAAATGGTGAAACAAGCATGAAACTTTCAGGAAATCATCTTTAGACCATGTAGTTGAAAAAAATGAAGTGGGTACACAAATATTTCTGCTCATTCAAGATGACCGCTATTTTTAAAATAGCCGCCATATGAATTTGCCGTACATAATAGCGCATTCAATCAAATTTTTGTACAGACCTGAAACTTACACCAAAGCATAAATAATATTTTACTTTTTCAAAAATTAAATTTTATAAAATTCAGCCGTCCTACTTCTCCAGAATCCAACATGGCATCCAATATGGCCGGCGATTTTGTGCAAAACTGTTAAATCATATTAATAGTATAAATTCTTTCACAAATTATGTTTATTTCTAAAAAAAGATGCGTTTTAACATATTATAAATAATCAAAGAATATATAAATCACACTAACAGTAAACTGTTTAAAGTTTTCGTCTACAAAATATCTTTAAAAATAACACGAAAAAAAATCAAAATTTTGCATATTTCTCTAATTTAGTTTTCTAAATTTATTTTCAAATTAAAAAAAAGTTTTTTTAAACTGTACTTGACATTCAATAAACACCATGTGCTTTTTGTAAAAATATAAGAAAAACATAAAATATGGTGGTTTAACATTTCGTGAAAATGAGTGGGGTAAATTTATCCGATAATTGTAATTGAAAAACAACAGAATTTATATAGATAAAATCATTCTATTTCTTTACTTTTCTATGAATTATAAGGCAAATGTTCCATCTTTAAAAGTACACTTCATTGGATAAGGAATTTTTGTCTTCCTTCGGGTTAAGTGGGTGAGCTAACATGTCAAAGAATTGCAAAAAAACATGTGTATTTCTTGTTTCAATATCTTTGATATTAATTTCTTTAAGTTAATTGTGAACATATATAAGGAGACAATAAATAAACAAAATATGCTAAAAGTAGCAAACATGTAAATGAATGTAAGGTTGTCTATTAACGCTTATTATTGACTCCTTCACAATTTCATATTTAAAATAAAAAGTTTCCTAAAAGCCAACACAATCATTTCAACTATGTGATATGAAACATATTCATCAATGGTATCGCCTGGACTGCATGTAGTTTATGATAAGTTAAGATATTAACTAACTGTATTTCCTAAATTATACATATCTCATCCTTTCAATAAGGGGGCAATGATGACCTTAGATCACTCACCTAAGGTCAATGTTGGAAAAAGGTCTTAATTCTTGTATAAAGGTTTGTAATAAGATCGTTTTTGGCGTGTAAATTATATCATAACATACATGTACATGATTGTGAAATTTTTGTATCAGGTTTCTTTAAAACAAACATGCCCAATATCTAGGTTATCACGAGAGGACTTAAATAACCATAACCATATTCATATAGGAGTCCATATAAACTTAATGATCCCCAGTGCTTGGTATATTTTGATCATCTTGTTATTTTCAAATATTTGTAGCCTATCACAAATTTATGATAATACAATATTAAGGTAGCCCACTTCTAATGAACTGTAAACTTGACAACATAGGGCCTTAAATGTCACCTGTATACAAAATCTAAACACAATTTACCGTGTGGTTTATAAATGCGTAATGGACATTTCTCTAAACTAAAATTTTGCCATCAGAAGGGATTTTTTTTCAAAAATGGGGTAACTCTTAATAATCTATAATATCATCATTATGAAAAATATTTTCCTATTCCTCATTGTTAAGAAACAAATGATGACATTCAGATAACAAATTTATCGAGCAAAATGATTGTTTTTATACGAAATGTTTTAAATATGTATAAAAATGTAACCCTACCCCACCCACTTTAAACACACATTTGACAATTTCCCTATGTGAAAGCTTTATTCAGAATATCTCTAAAATTCAAAATTTACCACAATAATGGGTTGTTTTCAAAGCTTGCCTAAATTTTCTTAAATGAATATTGGTTGGTCTTGCAAAATATAAAATATTTTTACCGTGTATTGTTTATTTTCTTAAATTTGAAAATATCTGGTATCATATTTGCTATTAAATCTGTCATTTTTTGGCAAATAAATACCAACAATATATAGTTATATTATTGAAATCAAAAGATGTGGCCCCTTCTGGGGTTTGAACCGACGCCCCTGAGTTTCAATGCACTTGACAGTGATTCTAGCCTATTTGAATACTCTTCAAAGTGGAGATTATGCATTAGAGGTCTACTACCTAAATGTCTATGCTTCGGGTACTGTAGGTTTAGAGAGAACAGATTTATTACAGTAGTCTGTGTAAATTAAGTGATACCAATTGCAAATGCATTTTTGACTGCAGCATACAAATTTATGCATGTTATATCATGTTACATCCCCAATATCTAAGTTCTAGTCGTTCTAGTTTAACCCTTTCACTGCCGTTGCTGTTATTTTCGGCGTATTTGCCATATGGACGGCTTTTGCCGTTTCTATAATAATCATAATAATAATAATAAATTAATAATAATAATAAGAATAATAATAAATATAAAGAAAATTATACTATCGACAATAATTATTATTATACTAGCATATTTGGAAACATATATAATTATTATAATACTAATAACAAATAATAATATTAATTATATTAATTAATAATATAGTAATTTCTTAGAAAACCCTCTGGCAAGGCAAATAGGTGATCAATAAAACAGTAACCCTCTGGCAGCGAAAGGGTTAACACTTGAAGGTTTTAATGTGTTTTCATATACAATATGATAAACTCAGGTGGCTCTATGAGCATAATTCATTAAATATATCAAATATCGGCATAGAGTTAAAATCACTTAGTTTGTATTGAAAATAGTTATATGAGTCTTCTTGTGTGAAAATGTTCCGAGAGCCTAGTTATCGGGCATTTTTCTTTTCAAATACTTCATAAATCATGACTGTATTTGGTGAAAAAATGATACTCCTTATGATTATTTGTTTGTCGTACTCCAGTCGCCTTAATTTTACTTTTAAAAATATCATGTCCTAAGACAAGTTAATAGAAATGAACAGCGCTACTTCAATATTTATTTACTTGATTACAATGATATATAAGAAAAATTTAACTTTGAATCATTCTGTTACAAGCCTTAGCAAGATACCACATGGAAAATTCATTGCGTTAGCTTTAAGGCAATTTTTATCATTTTTATCATTAATTTTCATAAAGAAATTAAATTGTGCATGGACTAATTGTATTTGTAAATAGACACCATTTCACTCAAGTACAATTATAATTTTTAATCTAGCACATTTTTGTTGATGTATAATATTATTCAGTCTAGTAGTCTACTTTCTGTACAATTAACGAATTATTTTAAGAATATTGAAACAAGTTCTATCATGCAAACAAATTTTAAAACTGAATGATTGTATACAAATGAATGCATGTACATTTATTGTTATCTAAGCAGACCATCTTATTATACTACTGAAGAGATATATCAGTTTTGCATAAAATCGGCGGCCATAATTATTAGACCCCATCTTGGATTCTGAAGAGGTATGAAAGCAAAATTTTGAATATATCAATTTTAGGAAAGGAGAAACTTTAAACATACTTTAGCCCAAGTTTCAAGTCTGAACAAAAACACGGAATGAGCTATTATGTACGTCAGATTTATATGGCAGCCATTTTGAAAATGTTATTTCCTCAACGTTTCATGCTTGTATCACGATTTGTACTATTTTGACAGCAGATACATTATTTCCCGCCCACTATAAGTAGAACCTTCCGGAATCTAACTTGATAGTTTCTTACAAGAAAATATCTAAAAACTATATCTTAAGTCATTTACCATAGTGGCTTTACGACATTTTATATATTTTACGAACAGCAAAACACTTGAAATTTAAATAAAATAGATTTCATAGGTTACCGTCACAATTATCCAAAGAATAAGCGACGTTATAAATGTACAGTATGAATAAATATTTTTCACATCAGTTTATGCCGCTTGAGTTCTGCGAAAATGTACTAAATAAGGTAATCCTACATTAAATTTCACTAGACATGTAGTTCAGAAACAATAATTGATTTATTACGGCTTTTCTGCGTCAACTTAAAATTATTATAATTGTTTAACCATAATGACTGTTTACCAACGCTTTTCTGTGTGAACTTTCAATTGTAATCATTTTTTAAAACACATTATTGCTGTTATTTATATCTATTTAAGATGTACAAATGTTCATTTTTGTGTGCATTACAGTTAATTGATGCCAAAAATACTGGTCAGGTAAATTTAGTTGATGTATTGGATGAACTATCAAATGAGACATCAGGCACGGACGAGAATAGTACACTTTTGATCGGAGATATAAACGTTGCTGTTAATACACTTGCAGAAATAGTTGATGTGGTAACAGTCAACACAACAAACCTTGAAAATGTTACAGACGTAAGTACATTAAATCAATCAAAGACATTATTGGCGACTGAAAATTCCATCACTATGGTTATTGATAAATTTCTGCCATATCATTCCGTTTTTTCTTTGAGCAGTGAAACTACACCGAACATGTCAGAGAATTGTAATGGGATGCTTATGATAAAATTCTGTTTAGAGGCTGACAAAAAAGTTACTCCGTGCTTCACTTAAGTGTTGTTATAATTAAACATTCCAAAACTGGTAAGACCGTAAATCAACTTTATAGCTTTTTTGGTGAAATAAGACCTACATATGCCTCACTACGGATAGTTTTATTTATGTGTCTGCATTATGATGCAGACACCGACCTTTTGCACATGTATTTAATCAACGTCTCAGATTGGATAAGAATCTAAATGAGAGTCCGAGATTACAATCCGAAAGGAGCAAGTAATTAAAATAAGAAGGCATGGACCAATTGTAAACGGAATAAGGATAAACATGTATCATTTTGCTCCCAGCTTATTCCAACATCTTCTAAACAAAAGACATTGATACAGAAAATTTGAAATAATCTACACTGCGCTTTAATGTAACTAAATCTCTGACGCCATGCTCCAAGATGAGCTTTATACATTGCGCATTAACCGAAATAACTCCAAGAATTGTATTTGTTCCTTTTCTTTTTCTTATATATCTGTCACCAGCGTTTACACACCCGCTTGCCTGCTGGAAATACTGAATTTCGGTGCTGTATAGTTTAGAATATTTTACATGTAATATTTCTTATGAATATCAATCTAGATAATACTAGCGGAAAGCATATGATAATTTGGTATATATTTAGAGATGAAATATCATCTTTCTTTATTTCAGTCATATATACAAACAGTCAACAATATCCT